AGGTCTATACATACTTACAGTATCAGTCAAATGGTAAAACTAACAGCATAAAAAACATGGAAACCCAGCTTTAGAATACACATATATACAAAGCAATCCAATAAAGAAACTAAAATAATTACTACCTGATGAGCAAAAAGCCACAGAAAGGCATAGGTGGACTTTTAATGAGGAAATAGAAACAAACATGAGATGGGACCCATCTGGATCTCTGGTCCTCAAAATTCAGGACTTCTTTTAGTGTCATTTAAGTATGAAAAAATCATTGCCATGCCTCCAGCCAGAACCTTACAGTGTTGTTACTTAGAAACGGCAAGGAGCTGATGAAGAAATATTTCAACACATGGCAATTTAATATTTGAATCCCCTTTGGAAAGTGGGAAATAAACAGCATAACAACATGGTGGCAACCAAAAATAACAGCTGTAAAAAAGCTGTCAGATGCTGCCAAGAGAGGAGGGGGTGAAGAAAAGCTCTGAATGACAACAGTTGCTCCAACTGAACAAAGGAGAGCTTCCCAGGAGCGACCACCTACAGTATGATCTATATCCATGCAGAGGGTTTGTATGTGTTCCTAAGGCAACTCCAGCAACCTCTGCAATAGTCAGGAACCACCACCAAAGCTTCCTTCCTGCTTCATACCTTCATTCTACTCTACTGTGCAAAGGATTTTCACAAATACCTGTCAACTTGCATTACTTAAAACCATTTCCCTCTTACAAGACCACTTACAGAGTCAAGGTCAAAAAATGGGAAATGGATTTTAAGGAAAGCAGAGTTTTTAAGCACAGTTCTCAGTTTATGTCCCCAAACACCCAGTTTTCCCATTCCATTCTCCAGTTGCTTCAGTATCACCAAGTGACTTTGCATGATAAATAATTCCCTGTACTCAAGAGAACAGCTGACTGAAGAGTATCTCAGCATATCAATCTTTCAGTGACCACTGGAATAACGAGGTCTGTTTAATTCAGTGCAGTTATTTGCATTATTCACAAGAAATCTTGGAGGATATTCTTTGTTCTGAATAGAAGACACTACTAAAACCATAGTAGTAAGCAGGTTTGTGTCTCAAACCAGAAAAGACCTGGCAGCCAGCTTCTAGTTTAACAACATCCACGTTGTTTGAGCAGAAAGAATCAGAACATCTTGCTGCTCAGATGAAACAAGAGCCCTGCGTGAGGCACAGCACACCTGCACTCCAGCCACGCACAACTAGTGAGAAAAACCCATGTTGGGCTACACTGCCCTGTTTGACAGAAATCCCTTTGGTGAAACCCAAAAAGAAGTCATGTCCCATGCTGTTCTGTCAACAGATAGCACTGTTGGGAAGCCACTTCCATCTGCTAAGCTCTTCCACGTGCTGGGCTGCTGCTGTGCTCATGCCAAGGCACCAGGTGTGCAGCACAGGGCTGTGCCGTGGAGCACAGATACTGAGCCAGAATGTATCTTCCATCATGAGAACTCACCAGGTTACAGCCAGCTCCTCTGGAGAGGCAGGAAATAAACAGAAAGGCAGGCTGAGGGAACAAGTGTCATATTTGAACCTGGCCTCATTCCTTAATATCAGATTGCCTGTTTAGTGCAGCCTTTTCAATGCCACAAGGATTCAGACTGGAAGTGCTGTAGAAAGCTTTGCTTTCCCTTTGCAAACTGACTTGGCTACAGCATTTATAGGCTTTGCCTTGAAGGCTGCTCAGCCCCAACACTGCAGGGCCAGCAGGCAGCTCATCTGTGCTCTGCAATGCACACAACCAAGATCTCACTTCAGCCTGTAAATACCCGACATCTGGCTGAGGTTCAAAGGAGACTTGTGCAAATGCTTCATTCCTTCGTGCTTGGCTTACCTCAAACAGGAAGTTTACAGCAAAAGGGAAGAACACAACTTTGTATTTTTCCAACCATGTGCTCATCTCCGATACACTGGAAAAAAAACTGATCCAGGAAAAAAAACAAAAGCAACCAACCATGCTGCTACAGGTGCCTACTATCAAAAAGCACAGCAGCCAACATCAGATCTATGGCAAAACAAGCCACCTGCTTGCTCAGTAGTCTCACAGATTTACCACCTGCAAATACCTAAAAAAAGCATCCAAGCTCCTGAAAAAGACCTCAGTGCTGCTTTAAAACCCAGAGATAACGTTTGTGAATTCTTACCAAAAAAAATAAAATCTGAAGAGCATCACCAGAAGAAAAACAGAGATCCTGTGCTCTTCTGAAATACCTCACAGTACAGTCTGAACCCTTTTTGACATCATCCCTCCCTCCTCCAGAAAAAAAGTGATTCCAGCTCAAGCTTGCAAGAGTATATCTAGGTATGAGGGTAGAGTTGATACATGTAGCAGGCACAGCTGTGTTTGTAAGGAGAGCTTTTCTTCACGGTTCCTATGAATCCACACCACAGGGCGGAAGATGGGCATTCTGTCTTCATCCTAAAAGATGGATTAATCTGAATGCAATGTATGCTTCCCTCGAGCAGTCAGGGCTTCCCCCTTCCAGTCATGCTTTTACAAACAGGAAATGAGATGAAAGAATTTTGTCCAACAGATATCATCATAAATTACTTTATTTAAGGTCCCAAACGCAAAGGATTTTATCCAGTTCACCTCTGTGTGTACGTTTGCACGTAACATGCAGTCCAACAAGTGGGAGACAAAACTAAGCACTTGACAGCACCTTTTTCAAGAGCTACAACTGCAAGGAAATAAGTGTTTTAGGCAAACTTTTAAGGCATTTTATTTTTATTTTTACTCGAAGCAGCACCACTTAACATTTAATGAATACGTTTAAAAATAAAACAAAATTACTTCAATAGATAACTAAAGACCAAGTTTCAAACTAAAGCAAATCAGACCTGTGGAAGGAAAGCGTATTGGTGACGTTCAGTACTCTCAGACATCCTGTTGTTTGAGTTGTTTGGCACACACTGCCTCCTCTACAAAAATGAAATGCCCCTTCCCTTCCTTTTAAAATGACTGTAATCAAAGTGCCTTTAATTTACTTCCTAAGGAGGAAATCTCAAATCAAGCCATTCTTCAGTGAAAGATACGAAGGCATTCAAATTCTGAAAACATAAAGATGTATTCTTCCTGCACAAACAGTGCTTTAAAGGTCAGTGAAAAGCTGAAGATAAAAACCAGAGATGAAGTAAAATGCTTGAAACGTGATCCTGGGACTGCAATGATCCCACAACAGAGCACTGCTCTGCCAGGTGGGGGTAAAACTGTAAGCAGCCCTTGCAGGAGGTACACAGAATCACAAAGCTCAACTTCCTTCACCTCATCTGTGAAGAACAGCAGAAAAAGAGTCGGTGGTGCTGTGCTACAACCAGAAAGGGCAGGGAAAGAGCCTTAATGACACATTCAGCAGAACAAGTGCTGATGGAATCCTGTCTGCTACCAACAGTGACAGTCAGCACTGTGCTACCTCTGATATGCCCGAATACTCATTCTAAAGAGCCATACAGCTTTAAACCTGTTCTATACTCACGCAGCCGTAGCTGGATAATTAAGTCATTAAAGCCAGTTTCTGCTACAGCGTAACAGATGATAAATTAAAAACAAAGAAAAATAGTTGCAAAATATTTTCATCCTCTCGAGCAGATGGACTGCTAACGCTTCCAAAATCCCAACGCCATCTTTCACTCTCTTAAATAAAAAGTCTTCCTCCCTAGCACGTAGTACTGAAAACTGAACTACTGCCAAAGAGCACTGAATGCACAGAGTCCAGTTTCAGCACGGCGTATTTGTTATTCTGGTCAGTTCCCACAGACAGCCATTCACAGGTGCACAAACTCTCCCCACCCACATCAAGCCATTGTTTCAGGAGGCACCGCTGTGATATGAAAACAAGCAGGGGTGGTTCAGCCGTACATTAAGATCTTGGGTGAGCAGCCAAAACCCTACAGACAAATGGTACGTTTGCTCCTTGACATCAGTCAATAGGGTGCTATACCCAAGGTAACCTAACACGGAAGGAAAACAAGTAAAAAAAAAAAACAAAGGATTGTTTTACAACGAATGCTCCAAGCTACTACTTTACAAGATGTTACAAGCTGCTCCAATGGAAGCAATCCAGGCTGGATGTGGCTCTGGGCAGCCTGGTCTGCTGGTTGGTGACCCTGCACATAGCAGGGGGTTGGAACTGGATGAGCATTGTGGTGCTTTGCAACCCAGGCCATTCTAGGATAAGCAATCCCTCTGCTGCTATATCCCCTCCCAACTTGTTTCCCTGGGATTTTTTTTTTTTTGTCCCCAGAGAGCTCTAAAAATAAACCTATAAATAAACCATACCCACAGCAGGATAAAAGCACGGCCTTCAGCACAGTGCATAACTTCCCACAGCCCAAGGATTGCAGGACTCCTTAAAACACTCCTGTGGTTGTTGTCTGTTGTTTGTTTGTTTGTTTTACATTACAGATAAGGACGAAGGGAAGAAAACACATGAAGGGTGTGCCACCCACCCCCGAACTGAGCAGCAGACCGGGTGCAGATGTGGAAAAGCTTTACTGTGCACAGTAACGCGGCCACAGGGGGTTCCGCTGCAGCCCCCTCAGCGTCAATTTGTCGCGATAGGGAAGGAGGAGGGGGGAGGGGCTGCGACAGCTCGGCCATACACCCATCCATCCCACGACCTCACGAAAGGGAAACGGGGAAGGCCGCTGCCGAGCGGAGGGGCCGCACACGCGGAGCCCCCCGGCCCGGAGTGAGGCGTCGCAGGGCGGGCAGAGCGCACGGCCCGGCTCCGGAGCCCCGCGGCCGCAGGAGGCGGTGGAGGAGGAGGTGAGGCCCCGGCCGCCCCCCCTCGCTCGCTCACTCGCTCCCCGCCTGCGAGCCCGCGGCCCCCCCGCCTCACGCCCCTCCCCGGAGCCGCCGCCTCGCGGCCCGGCTGCTCTGCCTGCGCTGTGAGGAACGGGAACGCTGAGAGAAGCGGGGCTCTACGCCCGGCCTGAGGCCCCCCGGGAGCTCGGCCCCAGCCGTCCGGCCGCGGGGCGCCGCGGTTACCGTGTGCGGTGCCGAATTCTCGTGGTGTTTGTCGGGCGGCTGCGATAATGGCGTCCTTCCTCGCGAGAGATCTCCGTCTCCTCAGCGCGCACGCGCCACCGCGCTGCGCCCGCTCGGCCCCCGCCCGCCTCGAGCGCCCGCGCAGGCGCACAGAAGACTCGGCCTCGCAACCGCCCTTCGCGGCCTCGCCGCTGGGAGAGACTATAACTCCCAGAGGGCAGCGCGCCCGCGCTTGGGCGCCGCCCCCGTTGAGCAGGCCGGGACCTGTAGTACGACGGGCTGGAGCGGTGCACTCTGGGAGTTGCAGTCCGCGCACAGCACCGCCGCGGCGCGCGTAGGCGCACACACCCATGTGATGTCCCATCTCAGCCTCATGTCACTGCTGCTCTGTGGCACCACCCGGCCCTGTCAGTGCTCTGAACTCCGTGAGGGGATTCCGGCGCTATCTCAGGGCTGTTCCAAATGGCAACGTCACGTCTCCTTTTTTCGTATTGCTTTTCTGAGCGAAGTAGCTGTGAGTGAGCACATTAAAGGCATCTCAGCGCAGTCACACTCTGCCTTCCTCTACTCCCTCCTATTAAATCCCTGATTAAACAGATCCTGAGCACATGTGTCACTGAAATGGGATGATCTGAATGTGAGCTGTCGCATTAAGGAGAAAAATGTCACCCTGCACAGAGAGCAAGTGGAAATGAACTAAAATAGCACTCCGGAGCGATTCCTCTGTTGCCTCCTCCCTGCTCCCGATGTGAGCACAGAATGGAGGAAGACTGCAGGCTCTTAAAGAAGAAAAGATCATTATGTTGTCACCAGATGCCATTTCTCAGCCCCAGCACAGCCAGCACTGGCTTTCACGCTTCAAACAAGAAGCTTAAATCTACTCTGCATTGTCACAGTATGTGATTGAATGCATTCTGATACACCAGACTTATGACCAGATGGTTTGGAGTCACTGCTGTAGCTGCTGGGTCTAAGTGCTGCTCTCAGGCCCCATAAACTCATGGTGTTCCATGTTGAGGTGCCTTCTGCATGACTTCTGTATCTGTGTGAACATAAACGGTCCAAGCCACAAAAGCTCCCTTTTCCCAAAGTGTTTCAGACCCCAGGGAAGCAGCAGTTCCTCCTGCTCAGCTGTCTGGGAGCTATGGGGAGAATCGGAACAGAACCCATTTGTTTCGCCTTTCAAACAGGGAAATTTATGCTGATGAGGCACATGCACTGTACCTTTTTGGAAGTGATAGTACTCACTTCTTAAACCAACGCTTCCAGTGTTAAAGAGTCATTAGAAGCCTGGAAATTAACAATTGGTACTTACAAAAAGCCTTGCTTCTGCCTCCAGATTTGCAAATGCTCAGCTGAGTCCATGGATTTATTTAGTGTGTTCTTTTCTTTCACAAGCAGATTAGGAAGTTCAGAGGTTAAACTACTTATAAACTGACTTTTCACATAGGATTATTTCATGCTTTGCTGCACAGAGTTGCCCTGTACCAGACTTGGCAAACTCAAGCAACCATTCTGCCCCTGCTAGAAAAACAATGGTAAAAATAAATACCAGTATGCAGTACCTGCTGTGCAGAGCTGCCAGTAAAATCCTTTGCTATCAAAACCTAGATCCATCCTAACAGCCCTCCTGTTTTCTCATCAGTGCATTCCCTCCCAGAGATTATTAACTCAGGTTCTGCTGAGGAGGTGAGATCCTGCTCCCCTCTGCAAAGCCAGTAAATCACTTTTCAGTTAAAACAACACATCAACATATTATTCACCTGCAGCCATCAAAGTAACAGAGGAAATTACGGCAGGATCCAGCTAATGTCTACATCTTTAATCAGAAATAGCAACACAATAAAAGTAATACAGCAATTTGGCACCTTCTCAGTGCTTAAATCAGGACCAATTTTGGTGTTTAGTCTTTATTTACAGCATGAACCACTTAACAAGGACAAACAAGTGTTTCCCGTGCTTCACAAAATCCCCTCAGCTTTATGAGCTTTCAAAAATGTGCTCACCTGAATGCAATGATGTATTGAAATGCAGTGTGTGTCCTCTAAGCAAATGAGGGCTTTACTTTACCATGAGGTAAGAGATTGCTCATAAGCCAGCACCAGGAAGAAGCAGATGCGCCGTTCTATCCCATGTTTAACCCACTGTAACTTGTTCGAGTGCCTTTGCCAAATCAGCTCCTATTCCAGGCACCCCCTCTTCCCATAAAAATGAATAAGAACATCATATTTTTTGCCTGCGGATCTGAAAGAACTGTATGGAGCTGAGGAGCAAATCATCATTCTTATTTTTTAATTTTATAGAAGAAAATACCTCTTGCTGCCCTGCTGGCTTATTCTCCCAAATGGAATAAGCTAGATATTTCCTCATTGTTTTAATTCCTCACCTTTTCATCCTTCTTTTTCAGACTTTCTCTTCCACTTTACGTGTATGCTAAGTTTTTCTCCGTCTCATTATGAAAAATCATTTGGTTCCAGGAAATATCTGGCTTATTTTACCTTCTTATCAGCATTCACTTGCTTTTGTTTCCCAAGGAAGTTGCTGCTTTTAGACGTGTTCTGTGTAGATCAAAAACAGATTGGTATCTCGTTCATTGGTTTCTTTTTCTTTTCATTAGAAGAAAAACCTTACCATAGGGTCAGAGGTAAAAAATTAACACACTGTGCACACAATTTTGCAGCTGCATAAGCAGTAGGAAAACAAAGGTTGCCAAACAAAGCATTTGTTTAAACAAGTGACTGGCATTCATAATTACGTTCAGTGCTGAGCATGAGCGTGGAAACAGAGGCGAGAAGAGCACAGATGTGATCGGGGCAGAGATGTAACCTCAGAGCGTTTGAAATTGGAACTGGGTTATATGCTATGCTATTAAACAAAAAAGTACTTGAAAATCTCCCGTTTATTAAGTCTCTGAGTTGCTTTATTCATTTTCTCTATGTTGATTCTCATCACTGGAGAGGAACAGAAATGTCCTTCTAAGCACAGCGTGCCCTCTCCTGTGACACGGTGGTACTTCAGGTGCTTTGAATTAATATACAGGAATTTGTAGAAATTACACTTTTTTAAACCAATTAATACTAATGGCATTTGTAGACCTGCTGTAGTGTTTCTCCTTATTGATAGGAAACCCCTCTGCTGTTGAAGCTTGTAATCAGCCTTCCTCTTCCAACCACACATTTCTCATCACTGATCTTTAGATAGCATGTCTATTTTCAGTTCTTTCTTTGATTTGATATTTATTTTTTACAAAATATCAGGTTGGGATTGGGAGGCTTTTACTGCTGAACCTACTTCAGCTAGCTCTGTGACTCTGGGCAAGACACTGACTTTTCCTGTTTTCTGATCTCACTTCTGTTCTAAGTACACCACACTTCACTTGCTGAAGATATTCCCAATTTTCATGAACGAGGAATGAAGAAAAGACCTTGAATGCCCAAAGCAGAGAGAAAAACAGTGTGGCACATTTAGTCACAGTTCAGGGTCTCCTAAGGACATCTGTGCTAAGAGGAGAAATTAGGTGAGAAGGGACAGGCTTGATCTCAGTGCTCTCTTCCTTATTTACACACTGCTCCATTTCCACGTATGCATCATGGAAAAAATAACAGGAATCTATTCCCTTTGTTAGAAATATGTAATTCTAAAATACTCTATTAGAACTTTGCCCTTCAGTGACCTTCCCAGCTGTGCCTGCTGCCCTTTTACCTGCTACACAGCTGACAGCTTTGCCCAGTATTTGCTAGCTTGCTAGTTTTGCTGCAGCCTGTGTTTATTTGGTCAGCTACCTTATCATCACCAGTCTTTTTTTACTCCACTGGCATTATCAAAATGTTAAAGGGAAGCTCATCATTCATAATGTTGTTGTTGAGGATTTTTATCCTTTCCTTTAGACTGCAGATTGCCTGAGAATCCTGTTTGTTTACTCTGTAGTCCTCAGCTCCATACAGTTCTTTCAGATCCCCAGGCAATGTTTCACAGCATCGCTGTACCGTTAATGTTATTATTCGAAGCCAGATGTGTCCACCTCCTATTCCTGGACCTGAATTTGTGTTAAAGTCTTTGCCACGTAACCCCACTTTTTCAGCTGTGAGAGGTAAAACAAATGATGTGACTATTCCCTGCCACTCAGCACCTGTCAGAGCACACCTGGAATACTCTGCCAATGTGGAGTCCCACCATGCAAGAAAGAGAAAAACCGGAGGTTGTTACAGCTGGCTGGAAAGATCAGCCACATTAACAGCAGTTATGGCCAATTGTGGATGTGGAAGAAAAGCTTTCCTTAGGCTGAAGTAATGCGTGAGCCACAAGAAGCGTGTGCCAATCCACAAAGAAATGAGTGTTAAAGCCAACAGAGTAATGATCCACTGCTGTGTGAATGCTACCTAGATGATATTTTTGGGTGCTCTGTTGAGGTTTCACACAGACACCTCAGCAGCAATGCCAGTCTAAGTAACTTCCATTTGTTCTATACTGTCAGCTGTAATAAAACAATAACTAGCTGAGGAAAATGTTAATTATGTGATTGCTTTAATTATACCTTCCTAGCTATGGTAAAATTGCCAGACTATTTCTTCTCTGAATTGTTGGGCTTGGCTTGCTGGTGTTGTAATTAAGCTAACATAGCATAGGAACACCTTTGCAAGCATAATGCCAGGAGAAACATGAAGCACTATAGGTGAAATAGCGGAGTGGGAAATGAAGGTTTTGTTTCCTTTATCTTCCCCGAAGTCTGAATTCCAAATGGTGCAGAGACAGCATGCTGGATGAAAAGATAAATATATCTTAATATTTCTCCTTTTGGCAGTGCAAAAAAACAGGAATGGAAAGACTGAAACTCTAGCAGAACATCCTATGTGTGTTTTCTTTCACAACGTTCATGTTCTCACTCACCTCTGATGATGCACTGTCCTGTTCAGGTTCTGCACTTCAGCCAGAAGCACCACATTTCTCCCCACTGGCTTAGCCTCCATACTTACAATCCTAAAAGCAACAAGTTTTTGAGTTTTTGCTCCTGATAGCTGTGAATTGAGCATGGGACTTCACAGAAATAGCTGTAAATCAGAATGTTCAGAAGCTTATCTTTTGGGGGGGGGGAAGGAATGTTGATTCAGAATGATTTGAATAGTTTTTCAATGGAATCAAAATGTTGATAAGGCTGCACAGAACTAAACGTGTGCAGGATGTACATATTGGCAACCCTCTAGTAAACATCAGAAAGAAAACAGATATCGATCCTCTCTGTCCAGTTTGGAGCACTTAGAGCTGAAATCAGCGACAGCAAGAAATCCCTAGATTTTTACTTTTCCAGTTTCTGGGAAGGCTAAGCAAGCACACTTCTAATGTGGGCAGTCACACTCTGCATATGATATGTGATTACCCACAAAAGAACAAAAATAGAAGCTTGATTTGGGAGTTTTTCTGCTGGCAGAAGCCCTGGCTGGCAATGACTTGCTGGCACTTCAAAGCAGGCAGCTGAGGTAATAAATGACAAGCAGTAAGAAAGACCCTCCTAAATAGCTGATTTTGGATGAGTAAATGACACAGATAAGCCTGCTGCTTTAGGATACTAAGGAGGATTCCCCAAGCCTTGCACTTAAATACTGCAGTAAGAAATAACAGACATACACATGTTTAATGAAAATATCACCAAATGAATTTGTTTCTAATATAAAATGCCACCATTTGTTAGGTAGAAACCAGACCTGTGTGTTGTCAGCACTCTGAGGCCAATAACAAGTCCTGATCACCTCGAGGAGGTTCACCTGGAGCATCCACCATGCTCCACCCATGGCCTAGGAGCCCATGTAAGCTCAAGATTGAGCTCTTTGAGCTTTGTTTTGAGGTTTGCCTTTGGTCCTGTCAATAAGAAGAACTTTGGACCCACGCTGTTGCTTGGCTTTGGCCCTGTCTCTTTTTATTCCTGACCAAGCTCCCTGCTTGGACCTTGGACCTGGTTTCCTGCTTGTTGTGTTTTGAGCTTGTCAGTGCCAGCTCTGCTCAGTGTCTGCAGGATGGCACCCTACTGGTAAGGATCTCAGTGGTGCTGGGCTCCCCACTCCTGTGCCCTTGGTGAGAGCTGCCTCTTGTTCTCTGACATGCCTAGGCACCCTCTTCAGATGTCTTTCCATTTTATTACTGTACAGCTGATAAGAAACTGCAATGATGTGAAAAGCCTTTGGAGAATGAGTAGCCTGGTTTGAATGGGAAAATCCAATTCTAACTGAGAAGCTGCTTGCGAGGGGTTGCAGCTGTGCTAGGAAGAGCAATACAATGACTGACATCCCAAAGAAAGAAAAAGGGAGGTCGTAATACATACATCTTCCATATCAATTTGCAATTGCGTGTAGAAATAAAGGAGTAGTTCTTCATGCTTTCATCTCTAAGAAACAGGTCAGAGATCCCCGTTGTCCCCAATGGAGAAGTGGTTCAGCTTGGCCAAAGTGACGTTTGTGTGATGTTCCATAGGTCTGTTCTTAGTCTATGTGAAATGATCTGTCTTATGAGGCCCCTTACAGTTCAGAAGAACAAATTCTTCACCTTGGGGTTGCCACAGCACTGTATTATGTGCTCAGAGTTGAAATCTTTTTCTGCAGGAATCTGCTCTGAGCAAACCTCATCTATCTACAAAGTTCTGTGAATTCCTCAGCTTGGGCAGTCATCACTCCTCAGAATCACAACTGTCAACAACAGCAGTGGTTACCTATCACTATTCTAAGAATGCATGCATGAAGAAATGATAAGAAACCTCTTCTTGCATATGAAAGAGTGGTTTCCGTAACCCCTCAGTGTTCTTGGAGCCACATGAGAGAAAGCCTGGAAAGCGCACAAATAATCATCAACTAGCCCAGCCTACAGTGAAATTAGAGCCAATGAGAAAAGCCAGAAGAGGGACAAGTTGAAAATTAACTATTTGGTTAGTGCTCTCTCCAGGCAAGAAAGGGTGCTCTCAATCTTTTTTTTTACAAATAGGTCTGGAGATCCCTTGAACCTGTTATGCCCAGAGCATTTTTTTTTTCCTCTTTTCACATTGACAGGTTGCTAGATTCTGGAAGGTTCCTGGGGCTGTTTGACTAACAGAAGATTTGGAGTGCTAAGGAGATAATGATGAATAGCATAAAGGCAAACAGCCTGGGACGTTTATTCAAGCAGTTGAAAACAGTCTGGAGTTCGCCTTCAGCGCCAGCACGAAGCTGCAGCTTGGCCACCTGCACTCCCAAAAACAGGAATGAGGCATGTAAGTATCTCATGTTGTTAAAATAGTGCTGGATGCCTGCATGTGGTGGTGCAAAGATTGCAGGTGTAGCTGATGCTCTTATTTGTTGGCTACAAAAAAAAAGGGGAATTTTTTAGAATGTCATTGAAAGGTTAAGGAAAGAAGTGAATGGGAGTGAAAGTAATACAGAAATACCTTGCCAAACTGCCTGATTGCTTTCCATGTGCTGGATTTATTTGTTGTTATTTGTGCTGTAGCAGCGTTAGTGGGTTGTTTGTGATTTTAACTTGTAGCTACAATGAAGATACAGACTTCACAATGCAAGGCTTTAACGAGTTACAATCAAATCTGGATTTGCACAGTGGATTTGAAATGGCTTTGAATTCAATAGGCACTGCAGTGTTAGATGTTGAAAATGAGGCCTACTGGAAAAGCTAACCACAAAGCCTGTGTATAGGAGATCTATAATAAATGACTTCCTTGGGTGCAATATACCCATAACTGCAAATGCCAAAGATTTAGTTGTTTAAAATGATGATCAACTTATCTAAGTGGGATTTGTGTTGAGGCCAGTCAGAGATTGCCTGTTTGCTCAAGTGAATATAATTGGAGCAATAGTGAAGAATAACTTTTTACATCTACCAAGTCCCTTTGTTTCCAGTATTTTTTTTCCTCAGTAAATGTATTTAGCTTATTAGTTTTTCTCCAGAACAGTTGTATCTCTCCTTGAAAACCACGATGTGATTCTCATCTATTATTTCTTTTTTTACTGACTTGGAATTGTTTGGTGGAGTCAGAAGGCAAAGCACAGGAAGGCTGAGATCTGAGATGTGTGAATTGTTTGGGGGTTATCCCATGATCCATAGGAACCCAACAGGGAGCTGGATGATGCCATGTTTTTTCCTGTGGGCACTTGTCCATTGGAAACTGCGCTGAGAAACCAAAGCTCACTTCATGCTAACAGACATTCCTGGAAGAGATCATACGAGGCTGTTTCATCCCGAGGCCACTCTGCTATTAAACTAACTGCAGATCCTATCTGGCTTCGCTCACGTTCCTCTTCGGTTTGAGACAGATGTTATTTATTACTGAAATCTTTCTCTATTCCTTGACATCCATGCAGGAAATGCCAAAAACAAACTGATTCAGAAAAATACCATCTTTGGAATGGTTGGTTTTGGCTGCCAGGGAATAGATATTAGCTCTGAAAAAGTTAGCCTGTGTGTTTCTCCATCTGGTGGCTAGACCACATACATAACATGCATTGAAAGCAAAATGCACATTCAGTTAAACTCTGCTATGTACAGAAATAGCACAAGCAGCCAGATCAGCAACAAAGACTTGATTAAAGAAGTGGCCCATATTTTGAAGCTTGGCAAAAACTGGACTATTTAGTACTGTCTTCAGTGTAAAGTTGATCTTTCCCATTTCACTGTTATCCTAAAATTCATCTTCTACCTTTCTTTTTGTACCATTCCCATTCACAGAAGCAGTCTCTTGCCAAGCTGGGTGGTGATGCTCAGACTTTAGCTATGATAACACAGATTCAACCATTCAAAAACTGCTGCTTCCCAGTGCCATTTTCTGGATTCCCATTGTGACCTCCCAAAAGCACAAACAGAATTCCTGCAATTCACTGAGGAAGCAATGTTAGAAACTATTCTGAGGACCACAGGATGTATGTCAGAATATCCAGTGACACGCAGTACCATAGTGGCTACCTGTAGAAAGCTCTGTGTATCTTCCAACAATACATGCAGATAAAGGGTTTCAAGCACCTTCTAATGCAATAAAGGAGTTGCTTCATCCTAATAATCACTGCCAGAAAAAAGAAAAGAAAAAAAAAAAGAACCTGAAGGACTTCTTTCTTTCTCACTCTTTGAGAAGGTAAGAAGTTCTGTTTTAAATCATTGTCCGAATACAGCAATGACACACGATCCAGGTGTGCCATCTCCAGGACAGCACACACTATTGCAGTAACTGTACACAAACTGTCCACGAGACAGATTAAGTCCTTCCCATACAGCATTGCTAAACCCTGTGCATAATTTTAGCAAATGTTTTTATACAGCAAAGATAAAGCCCCTATTTACTTTACCTTGCCAACTAAAATTACCTTCTTATCTGGACTTAGCCTCAACCACTGCCTTCTCATCCAGGCTCCTATCTCTGCCAAACATTCTGGAAGCAGAGAAAAAAGCTCAGCATTTCACAATCTGCTGCTGCTTTCCTGTTGAGCTTAAGAGTGCTCTGTCAGTTGCATCCGTTTGATAAAAAGCATTGGGCTGTTTATCAATAAACTGGTCTACATCACAGTCCAACTCTGACATCAATTCAGCAGAACTTTCAACACCTTGTCACGATGGACCACAGCCAACCAGCGCCATTATCGTCCAAAATCTTGATTCATACTGAAAACCTCAAAGAAATCAACCTATCTTGGATTTCCTCTCGAACGTTCAATCCAAGTGGCTGAAGCAGAGCCACGGTCCTTTAAAGTTTGTATGTTTATTTTTCTAATTCCGAATGTGTTGCTATGGAAAGCACAATGTAAGAAAAAAGAACATATTTCTTTCAAATGGGTGCGGTTTCCTAACTGCTCCCACAGCCCTGTCCTCCTTGTTTTACTTCAGAGCAGAGTGAAGCTTGTTCAAAAGGCCCTTTGGAAACAAAGGGCTTTATTCAACAGGCCTTTTATTTTAATTTTTGAAGTTTAAAACATGCATCAATAATAAAGTCCACTGAAGCTGACACTTCCTTGTGGTTGGAGATGATGATCTTGAAGGTTTTATCCAACCTGAGCAATTCTATGATTCTGTGATTCCTCATTTTAACTTGACAACCTTCCAAACTAATTTTTGTCCTCTTTCTTCTAATTTTTTATCCCTTATACGGGAACTTTTAGCCCCTCTGCTCCTCCCCCCCGTCCCCCCCCCCCCCCCCGAATACTTAATACTTGAACTCTTTGAAAGGGTAGATAACAGCAGGGCAAGGGGAAATGGTTTGAAGTTGGAGGAGGGAAGGTTTAGGTTGGATGTCAGGGGGAAGTTCTTTACTATGAGAGTGGTGAGGTGCTGGAACAGCTGCCCAGACAGGCTGTGATGCCCCGTCCATCCCTGGAGGTGTTCAAGGCCAGGTTGGATGGGGCCCTGGGCAGCCTGGGCTGCTGTGAAATGGGGAGGTTGGCAGCCCTGCATGCAGGGGGGGTTGGAGCTTCGTGATCCTTGAGGTCCCTTCCAGCCCAAGCCATTCTATGATTCCATGATTAAGGGGATTTCAGGTAACTGTAAGCTATTCTACATTTGGTAAACAATGAAAAAAGTTTTGTCTCTTTAAATCAAGCTTACATTAGAGCAAACTGACAGTGAACCCTTTCATTTGACTGAATCGATTCTGGATTATGTTTTACCATACAGCTGTTGCTTTCAAGATGTTTTCTTGGAAACTGTTATAAATAACAAAAATCACATTAGTATAAGCAAGCTGTATTTGAGTTTGGATCTTTACTCACACCTTCAATCTTCTGATGATACATCCGTGCTAATTGAACTTCCTGACAAGTAGTCCAAATG